CACCCCCCCCACCTGCCCCCACCTGCCCCCACTCCTCATTTTTCACCATTCATCATCTCAGTAAGTCATCAACCAGGGTCTGGACCCCCACAGCCCCCCCCCCAGACCAGATTTTTCACATTTTCACCTGGTATTACCATGTGTCATGAGGAAATGTCTTCACACGTGGGAAATACGACTTTTAACAGCTGACATTTACGCAGATGTGCCCCCGGTGGCCACTTTCGGTCGCTGCTCTCGCTTCTGCGCTCGACACACAAATGGCCACACGGCCATGATGTCTGAAGACAAAATGTTGTTTTTAATGAGTGTGATTTTTTTTTTTCCTTTCAACCGATGTTCAAATCAAAACCACAGCGTTTTTTATTTCTCAGGCCAAAAATTAACAAAAAGCACCAGGCGACTTCTGTGTGTGTGTGTGTGTGTGTGAAGAACGGTTTTAATCATTACAGGAAATACATCATGTTTCCAGGGTTAATGCTGTGGAAGTGGCTATGAATAAATAAAGGACTGGGCTGTGATCGTACTGCAGGTCCACTGTGAGGACATCAGGAGGGGGGGTCCGTGGGGGGTCCGGGGGGGGAGATCTCTAATGTCTCCAAAGGACAGGTTGCCTTCATGCATGTGAAAACACATTGCTCATAAATTGTTGATGTTTTTTTTTTTTCCTTTCAACCGATGTTTAAATCAAAACCACAGCGTTTTTTATTTCTCAGGCCAAAAATTAATAAAAAAACACAAACTTCATGATTCCAGGCGCCTTCTTCTGTCCAGCAGGGGGCAAAAAAAAATCGGGAAAAAAAAGAAACAAATGAACGGACAAACGTAGGTTGAGTTTTATGTGTGTAGCAAATATTCATTAGGAAAACGACGTAGTTCACGATGACGCGGCCGCGGTGCAAATATGCTAATGTCCGACAGGACGCTCATACATGATGATGCTAATGGTCTGAACGCTGTGATGGCGACCGTGACCTTGACCTTCCTGAATTTTTTAAATCAAGTCCTTTACGTAAGAAGTGTGCGATAAAAGCTGCGTTTCCTGTAAAAGAACGTACATGAAATATAGATGGTTCACCTGGTCCTACCAGTGATGTCCAGAGGGTGAACATCTGGACGCCGATGGAAAAACAAACTAAACATCGCAGGGAAAAAAAAGTCACCATTTTGTCTGAGTTTCTGTGGATAATCTTAATCTGTAGTTTCACGTCTTCTCCAGTAGGGGGCCTGGACGCCTGTCCAAACCATTGACTTCCTACCGTAGAAGACATGAATGTGTGTCTTAGTCTTAGATGGTCACACACAGCAGGGGTGCCCAACCCCTGGTCCGGGGAGCAGTGCCGGTCCGTAGGTCTTTGGTACCGGGTCGCAGTACGACCCAGTGAAAAAAAAAAAGTACTGCAGTTTTTACTAATGTACTTCATTCTAAAAGTATCCAGTCAGATCTCTTTACATTTTCCATTCAGAGATAATCTGTCAGTGTTTCAGAGCGAGAGGTCAAAGGTCATTCAGACTCTGGCACTGACAGGTGAAAGGGTAAAAAATGAGCTTCATCCCTGCAGTCACTGAAGGGGGGGGGGGCAGGGTGACAGCCCAGGACCCCCTACAGTAGGACTGGAGAATGAACCAATCACCTTCTGAGTTTATTTTGGAAAAAAAACGTTTCTGAAGTTTTGATTCCACGAAGTCTTTGTCAATTTCATGTTCAGGAGATCAGTGAAAAAAACCAAACTTCTTCTTCAGGTCCTTCTTTCTCTTTAGAAGAAAATCCAGTTGACGTTCACAGACCACCCTGTGTTTAATCTCATCAGATTATGGTTGGATTTCACAGATTAATCCAGTCTTTAGTCTCAGTTTAACCAGGACATTTGTGGACTTGATGTTTGTATTTATTTTTAAATATTAGAAAGGACAGTAGGTAAATAATGGTGGGGGGGGGGGGGGGGGGCAGAAGAGACCGCCCCCCCCATCATCCACCG